ATATAGTCTAAACTTATGTTAATTTCTTTAATCCAGCTGATCTGATTTCTATAAAAGTTTCAGCTGATTTATCTTCAATTATGCTCAGCATTATGCTTCATTATGCTTCATTATGCTTGCATTATGCTTCATTCAATTATGCTTCAATCATTCAGCTGATTTATCTTCAATTATGAGCTTCTGCTAATGTTTTAAGACCTTTCTTACATATTATTTTTATACCATCTGTAAAAATATACTTTCATAATACTTTTTACCCCTACAATACAATCAATGCTTGTTGCAATTCATTTATTCTATCTAAAATTAACATCTTATTCTTAATTCAATTATATTACCATCTTGATCAGTTGTTTATATATTCTGATACTTTCTATATTATTGTTTCTATTAACTTATCCAAATAAAGGAATTGTTTCATTTATTTTCATCAAACTACCTGAACTGAGAATTAGAATGAATAAATGAATATAATATATCTCTCGTTAAAGAAGTTACAAGCCTTCAATGAATGAAAATTTCATGAACTCCTTTTGAAATATCACCTATTTATTTTGTCTTAGTTAATTATATACCTTACTTTCAAAATTTAAAAATTTATACAATTCATAAACTCTAAAATTAATTTAAAATTTTGTATCTAATTTAATTATAAATTTTGATGCAGCTTCAAGAATATATATTATATATATATATATATATGTATATATATATATAGAGAGAGAGAGAGAGAATATATATTTTCAAACCCAAAATTTCTTGTATTGCATAATTTAAATTATCTATTATATAATTTTCATAATTTAATTGAACATAATCAGCTCCTTTGTTAGTATATCTCAAATATTCTGATACTTTTTATATTACTGTTTCTATCAACTTCTCCAAATATAAGATTTATTTTTATTTATTTTAATCAAACTATTTGGAGGACTAGAATGAGCAAATACATAGCATATATCTCTCGTAGAAGTTACTATAAAGAAATTACAAGCATACTATGAATAAAAATTTCATCAACTCTTTTTAAAATTTTCTCTTGGTTGATTATATACCTTACATTCAAAACTTAAAAAATTATACAATTTATAATCTCTAAAATAAATTTCCAGTCTTGTATGAAATTTAATTATAAATGTCAAGATTTATAATTAAATTAGCTTCAATAATATCATAATGCAGCTTCCATTCAATAATGCAGCTTCAAGAATATCATATATAGTAGAATATTTTCAAAACCTAAAGTGTTATTGTAATGGGACATTTAAATGCTCAATTACATAATTTTTATTATTTAATTTAATATGAACAACTCCTTTGTTAGTATGTTTTAAAATATAATTGTTATATTTTCACTAATATTAAACATTTAAACTCACATTGATGGGTAATGATAACTGCAGCTGGTGAATTACCTTTGTTTCTTTCTGTAATATTTTTCACTAAATATTAATGCCAACGGCCATACCATGCTGAATATACCGGTTCTCGTTAGATCACCGAAGTCAAGTATCATTGGGCGCGGTCAGTACTTGGGTGGGTGACCACCTGGGAACACCGCGTGCCGTTGGCATTCACACATTTGGGACCTGAATGGCCGAGTGTCTAGCGCTCTGGCGCTCGGTGCCACAAGTTTCGGGTTCGAGTCCCGGCGGTGCCATGGGTGTTTGTTCATAGTGGTTCGGAATTCCCTTTAAGCCGTAGGTCCCGGTCTCCTATGACTGTAAGAGCGTCACGGAGCAAAAGTCAGGCTTCTACCTACGGGTGCTCCATCACAACAGAAGCTGCTTCCTTCCCCTTCAATCATGGGTACGTATGGGCTCGTGGGCTTGGCCTAGAAATGTCTGCCAAGTGGGATAAGAAACAACAAACATATTTTTCACACATTGATATAAAAAATTTACAAAAATGTAAATAAATAATAATAAGTAAATAAGTAATAAATAAAATAATGAATAATAAAGTATTAAGTAAATACATAATAATAAAAAAAAATTATTAAAATTTTAAAAATTAAAAATTTACAAAAAAGATAATTGATATATAAAATTGAGAAAATCAATTTTTTAAAGAAAATCTGAATTATTATAAATTTTTTCTTGATATATACAGAATATTTTTGATTATTTTAGAACAGGATTCCTTTATTAAATTATGGTTTTTATTTAAAAATCCACCATAATTTTCATAATATTTAACAAACTCATTTTTAAATCATTATAATAACAAACCCAATGAAATCCCAAAACCTGCAGATTTATTTAAATCATTGATATCATTTTCAAATTTTTTCATCTTTTTAAATAATAATTCAGTCGCAAATTCATCTCTAAATCGTTTCGCATTTTCTATATTTTCTTCAATTACTTGGTCTGAAAAATTCTCAATTTTAATATATTCCCTTTTCAAAACGTTTTATTAGAGAGTGCAGTTCATTTACCTGATATTTTATTATTATTATTATTATCATTTTAATTTCCCAAACTGCAGCACCATTAACTGCTTCAAATCCTAAACCCGTTAAAATAGAATAATATAGTTTTATAAACTAGTTTTAGTAAAATAGTTATAGTAAGTTTTTTTTTAAATAGTTAAACAAGTTTTATTAAAAATGGTAGAAAATCTCCATTTTTTTTGTAATTTTACTTATAGTAATTTTTTTCATTACTTGGCTGATTTATTCGTGTTTTTGTTTAGTACATTTCATAATTAGGTTATTTAAATGTAATAATATGTCCTCCTTACTAAGTGCTGATTTCTATTTAACTTTTTGTCCATCACTCAGATGAACCTTTTTAGAATATAATTACTCATTCATTAAGAAAAACATATTTCTGCAAGTTTCACAACTAAATTGTACCTGGGTGTGGTTGGATTGAGATACTTGTGGCACAGGTTGCAGAAATCACAGCTTTATGGACACACGCACAAGCACCACACACAATTACATACTACTGCGCCCAAAAAGTAAGAATAATTTTTTTTTTTCAAAAAACTCTTTATTTATTCTTCTAAATTTATTTCATCGCCTTCAAAATAATCCCTTCCGGACACAATGCATTTATGTCAACTTTTTTTTCCAATCCTCAATGCATGCTAAAGAATCATTTGCAGGGATGCCGATTCGTGTTGAATCTCTTGAAATGACTTAAAACGGAGTAGACTTTTGAGGTTAGGAAATAGCCAGAAGTCGCACGGTGTGAATACGGCGGTTGTGGAATGATATGGGTTATATCGACCAGAGGCCATTCGTCTTCAACGCGTTCTCCGCCTTCTTTCACATGTTTAAACCACTTCTAAACATTTCTTTCCGATATAGGAATGCTCACCGAATGCCGTCTGCAACATTCTAAAGGTTTCCGCAAACAAATTCTTTGCTCAATTAATTCAGACATTTCAAAAATCGCTGGAATCAGTTTTAGCATCTCACAAAGCCAAGCGTAACTCGAACACTAATGAATATTTTGACGTCACATTTCACAGATGTTAAGGACAGTGCCTACAACCTTTTTTTTCTAATGCAGCTGGCAAACACTTAGACAGCTTGGTCTTGGATGCCTTAAGGCAAGCGCCGCACAGACGTTACTCACTTTGCATTACCCAGGGGGCACGTGTAACTTGAAGATAAGCCACGGACGCGGAGTAACAATGCCCCCGCAACGCTCTACGATCCTATTAGCCCGGGACCTACGACTTAAAGTGGATTCCGAACCACTACAAACATCCATGGCACCGCCTTGACTCGAACCCGAAACCTGGGGTACCGAGCACCAGAGCGCTAGCCACTCGGCCATTCAGGCCCCAGTGCCAGCAACCTAAAAAATAAAAAAAAAAATAAATTGAAATTCCATAAGTCCCGGGAATTTTAAATTGAAAATTTGTCTTACTTTTTGGACACAGTAGCACAATGTTTAACACTTTTAAATACATATAATTATAGAAGGACTCCACTTCTAATACGAAAACCCGAAAAATTCAAAAATTTTGTTTTACGGTAATATAGCTATTCTAAAAGAAACTGTAAAAACTCAGTTTCATTTCGAAACCCACAATTTTTTAAATCGGAGGTTTCTAACTTTAACATAATATTTTCAATGAATTCAATAACATTAACATTTGTTTTTGCTTCTTTTTTTTTTGTAAATCTTCATAAAAGGAAAAGAAAAAAATCATTTTTTTTTCACCAACTATTGAAACTCGCCCTGTTTCGCAATATCTCAGTCATCAATATTCTCTTCTCATTAGAATATTCACAATTCAACAAAATCTTAATTTTCAAACCGATTTTTAGACACTAGACTACTTATGCACAAATATATTTTTATAATTAATGTCAAATTTATCCCATTATGATTTATGGCACAGTTGAAAAGAGGAAGATAATATACTTTATTTAAATTGGATAGATAATATCGGGCTGTATTTTAATTTATTTCTGTAATGTACAGATGGGACAACCAGCTTGTAACTGGGTGTAGTTAAGTTGAGATACGTGAACCACTGTTGGAGAACTCACAGATTTATTTTCACACCTACAAACACCACACACATTAGAGACATACACTATTTAACACATTTACAGACATATAATTATAGATTCATGGAAGTTCTCCACTTCTAAGCCGAAAAACCGATACACAGTTGCGGGGGATACACAGTGCTCAGGGTGCGCGAAAGTTACTACCTCTCCGGGTGAGAATCTGTTGTTGTTTGTTGTTTCTTATCCCACTTGGCAGACATTTCTAGGCCACGCCCACGAGCCCATATGTACTCATGATTGAAGGGGAAGGAAGCAGCTTCTGTTGTGATGGAGCACCCGTAGGTAGAAGTCTGACATTTGCTCCGTGACGCTCTTACAGTCATGTGAGACCGGGACACCTACGGCTTAAAGTGGATTCCAAACCACTACAAACACCCATGGCACCGCCGGGACTCGAACCCGAAACCTGTGGCACCGAGCGCTAGACACTCGGCCATTCAGGTCCCAAATGTGTGAATGCCAACGGCACGCGGTGTTCCCAGGTGGTCACCCACCCAAGTACTGACTTCGGTATGCTTGACTTCGGTGATCTAACGAGAACCGGTATATTCAGCATGGTATGGCCGTTGGCTGAGAATCTGTAGGTAATATGACCATTTCTCCTGAATGCCACAGCGAGCTCTCTTGCCATTGTGTAGGAGGAAACACGGTTACATACACTGAAGTGACAAAAGTCATGGGATAGCAATATGCAAATTTTCAGATGGCAGTAGCATCGCGTAGAACAGGTATAAATGCGCAGTGCTTTCGCAGAGCTTTCATTTCTGTTCAAGTTATTCATGTGAAGAGGTTTTGAGGTGATGATGACCGCACGACGGGAATTAACAGACTTTGAACGCGGAATGTTAGTTGGAGCTAGACGCATGGGTCATGCCATTTCGGAAATCGTTAGGGAATTCAACATTCCCAGATCCACTGTATCAAGAGTGTGCCGAGAGTATGAAATTTCAGGCATAACATCCCACCATGGACAGCGCAGTGGTCGACCGCCTGTACTTAACGACCGAGACCGGCGACGTCTGCAAAGAGTCGTAAATTCTAACAGACAAGCAACACTGCGTCAAATAACCGCAGAAATCAATGTGGGACGTACACGGGACTTGTCTGTTAGAACTGTGCGGAGAAATTTGGCTTTCTTGGGCTATTCCAGCAGAAGACCGACTCGAGTGCCTTTACTGACAGAACGACATCGCTTGCAGCGACTCTCGTGGGCACGTGAGCATATCGGTTGGTCCCTAGATGAATGGAAAACCGTGGCCTGGTCCGATGAGTCGCGATTTCAGTTGGTAAGGGCTGATGGTAGGGTTCGAGTGTGGCGCAGACCCTACAAAGCCATGGACCCAAACTGTCAGCAAGGCACTGTTCAAGCTGGTGGTGGCTCCGTAATGGTGTGGGCTGTTTTTTCATGTCATGGACTTGGTCCACTGGTGCAACTGGACCGAACATTGACTGGAAATGCTTATGTTCAGCTACTTGGAGATCACTTGCAGCCATTCGTGGACTTCATGTACCCAAACAACGATGGGATTTTTATGGATGACAATGCGCCATGTCACCGAGCCACAACTGTTCGCGATTGGTTTGAAGAACATTCTGGACAATTCCAACGAATGGTCTGGCCACCTAGATCGCCCGACATGAATCCCATCGAGCATTTATGGGACATCATCGAGAGGTCTGTTCGTGCCCAAAATCCTGCACCATCAACGCTTTCATAATTATGGACGTCTATCGAGACAGCAAGGCTCAATATTCCTGCAGAAGACTTCCAACGACTTGTTGAGCCCATGCCACGTCGAGTTGCTGCACTTCGCCGGGCGAAAGGAGGGCCGACACGATATTAAGAGGCATCCCATGACTTTTGTCACTTCAGTGTATTTAAGATATAATAGTAAACTATCTCTTCTTCATTTGTAATATCACCATTATTGTAGTACATTATGTAACTTCTAACATAATGATACTTTCTTCACTTTATTAGATACAGATTTTGGATTATTTCTTTTTTTCCTGCAATTTAATATTATTCTATAACTTAACCACGAAATTTTATGATATATAACATTTTTATTTTATAGTTGATTTCCTCTAAAATTGGCTAACTTTTGCTCCTCTTTTTATCTCTGATTTTAAATAACCTAACTGCCATCGTATACGTTGGGGTTTTATTTAGTTATTTCAATTTGTTCAGGTTTAGTAATTAATAATGAAGGCAGATGAAGTTCATTTTCTTTTAAAAAAATTTCAACTAAATGAAGATCTGCTTCAACGGTAAATTCTCTTTTAGATTCTATATCTTTCAGTGCTAAAAATGTAGAAGCAAGATCTTCGCTCTCTAAGTATGATCCAGCATATATAAATCATTAATTTGATTTGGAAGAGTTTGTAATTGATTTTTTTCTAACTCATTGTAATTTTTTTCATTATAAAATTTTTTTCATTAAAATTCTTTTCAGTGTCATTTTTTTCGATAAAAGGTTTCTTGAAACATTTTTTTTTATTGAATATTCAAATTCTGCCATTTTGCCATTCATGCTGTACATATTTTTTATTTCATTTCTTTATTTAATTTTGCTAATTTAATCAAATCATTTATTCTTTTATTCAGACGGGACTTCATTTAATACAGTAAAAAATATTTTAGACAGTTAAGCTGACGCTTCTGTTATAGTGAAAGTTTAATATAATAATTGATTAAAATTAAAAATTATATTCCAAAGAAGAGTATGTAGATATAAAACAAACTCGTTCGTTACAAGCAAATTCATCCTTTAGATTTTAATCACGGGTCCTATAGGCTGAGGGAAGACAAATTTACTGAAAATAATATGTTTTTTATATATATATTTGTCAAAAGTTTTTTGGAACTAAACAAGAA